CCTCAATTTAGCTAGCCCTGACTACCCGATGGGCCCGACGCGACCCGACCCGACCCGATCGCGAATGTGGGCACCCCCTATTAGAGGCGTTGATTTCAACATACATCGTGAGAAAACAGTACCAACATTTTGCCCAGGAACTACTTCCGGTTTATGACTTGCTTCGTCTCCACGTGCACCAGGAGTCACATAAGTCACGCAAGTCATAAGTTTTCATTTTTGTTGCAATTTTTATACGGGGTGCCCACTACGGATGGGATCGGCCGATCGGCCCGATCGCCCGACTCGATCACCTCAAAAACAAACGTGTTTGTTTTCAGTTTCAGGCGATCGAGTCGGGCCATCGGCCCGATCCAGCCGTAGTGGGCACCCCGTATTACGCTTTTGTGAAAATTATCTAATTAGAATGAGTGTGACAAAACGTTTGCAACTCAGTATATCATAAGGAGTAAGCCTTAAGGCAGAAATGCTCTCTTTACACTCATACACAACGATATACAAAAAAGGATGCATAACTCATTTACACAAGCATGCCTAAAGATAAGTGGAGTGTGGTTTCTACAGATTAGAACGAAGTGCGGTTTCCGATTACCCCTTCAGTAATGACTACTCAGAAATGTGCGTCCTCGAGACATCCCCTCTAAGTCTCTACTTTCTGTTTAGTGTTTACACCTTTAGGTACAGCTTCTACAAAACAATCCAGCTGGCGTCTGTAGCGCAACTTTTAATACCTCCTGCCGTCGCATGCAGTAGAGATTAATTCGATTCCCGGGTGGTAAAAAGGTTTTTATTATTATTATTATCATTATTATTATTATTATTATTATTATTATTATTATTATTATTATTATTGTTGTTGTTGTTGTTGTTGTTGTTATTATTATTATTATTATTATTATTGTTGTTGTTGTTGTTGTTGTTGTTGTTATTATTATTATTATTGTTGTTGTTATCTTTATTATTATTATTATTATTATTATTATTATTATTATTATTATTATTATTATTATTATTATTATTCTACGAAGGGTGAAAATAGTGATAGGAAAGCCCACGATAGCGCCATCTGGAACTTCGTCCTGAGCAGCAGGTCTGTTTGCATGTATCCTAATAGAGTTCCTGGACTCAACACGGCTCATTGCGACATATAATTGCCCCTGTGAAAAAAATTGTCTTGTAAAGAAACCCCTATCTTTTTCAAAATCTGTCCCTGAGCTTTGTTGGCAGTCATTGCAAAAGCAGGTCTAACCGGAAATTGTTTCCGTTGCGTATGGAAGGGAAATATGTTGTCTGAAGGCATGAGAGGAATCCTTGGGATGAAAAGTCTCTTTCCGACATGTGGACCGCAAGCAAGGACAGCATCAATTACATGTTGATGAAGGTGTTGATCCACATATCGAGTCTCGTTGCAATGGCCGTTTGTGGGATCCAGATTTCTCAGCAATATGACAATGTTGTCTTTCCGCAATGTCAGTTTGTGGGGTGGTATACCTGACGGACAAAGAGAATGGATAAATTCGATGGGGTATTGGTGTTCATTTTCTTCCACCGAATCACTGCTCCTGTAGACTTTTTCTTCTCCGGGAAAGGACTGCATGATCAGGTTGTTGATTCTGTCTACGTCTGTGTTGTGGGACTGATGATGCATGCAGCGGGAAGCCAGGCAGTCAGGATTTGTGTTACCAAGGACAAAATTGATCAAATCTCGTTCGCTGTTCACTGTGATGTCATCTGGCAGTTTTATCGCAAACTCCTCGATTTGCTTGCTTACGTTGTGTTTGCCATCACCAATGTTCAATAGATAGCTGGAGAAATCAGCAGTCTCACCTGTAAGCAAAACCTTCATGTTTCTTGTCAGTCTGTGCACTTTAACATGCTCCCACAGATATGATGATTTCAGGGTTGCATTTGACTATCTGTGATCTTGAGCCGTGGCGAACTACCGGTAGTGTTTGGCTCCAGTCACCCGACATAAGCACAGGTAGCCCACCGAACAGAGAGTTTATGTCTTATTTATATCTTAAAGTGTTCGGTTATAGCTTCAAATATGTGTATGTGGCCCATTGATACTTCATCAATGATGAGCAGCTCTGTTTGGCGTAATAAAGTGCCACTGGCATCTCGGGGACTCACGCTGCACATGGACTGTTCGTTCACACTCAGAGGTATTTTGCATCTGCTGTGTAATGTTCAGCCATTTTGAGAGCAGAGTTGCTGCAATGCCTGACAGAACTGTAGCAAGGGCGATCTTCTTAAAGGAACGGACAGCCGCAAGAATCAGGTTTGTATGTGTGGGTTTTTCCCAGTCCCTCCACTTGCCTCCAGGGTAAATATTTTGCCTTGTTTCTGTACAACTGACTCTATCACAGCATCATACACGACTCTTTAGTTCTTCATTAAGTTTTAGGTACTCTTGACACACCTTCTCTCTCAGGTTGTTTGTGTCTAAATTTAACTCCTAGTGGACAATTCTTGGTTGTTCTCACTCAACGTGACTATGTCCTGTGGTCCACATGTCGGAAAGAGACTTTTCATCCTAAGGATTCCCCTCATGCCTTCAGACAACATAATATTTCCCTTCCATATGCGACGGAAACAATTTCCGGTTAGACCTGCTTTTGCAATGACTGCCAACAAAGCTCAGGGATAGACTTTTGAAAAAGATAGGGGTTTCTTTACAAGGCGATTTTTTTCTTCACAGGGACAATTATATGTCGCAATGAGCCGTGTTGGGTCCAGGAACTCTATTAGGATACATGCAAACAGACCTGCTGCTCAGGACGAAGTTCCAGATGGCGCTATCGTGGGCTTTCCTATCACTATTTTCACCCTTCGTAGAACGGGACTGTGTCTAGTAATTAGTAATGATAATAATAATAATAATAATAATAATAATAATAATAATAATAATAATAATAATAATAATAATAATAATAAAAATAATAATAATTATAATAATAATAATAATAATAATAATAATAATAATAATAATAATAATAATAATAAAAGTTCGACAGTCCATATCTGACAAGGACCAATAATGCACTATCTATCTATCTATCTATCTATCTATCTATCTATCTATCTATCTATCTATCTATCTATCTATCTATCTATCTATCTATCTATCTCTCT